GCTTTAAAATGAGGTGTCGCGGAAGTTGTAAACTGCTGTCGATCTTGCTGTGACCCCCTAGGAAAAGGTTATACCCCGCCCTGTACAAGAAGGCCCTCCTAATTACACAGAGTTCATCTCATGCAGTATGTCATTTTTAGTGTAGGTAGTCCTTGACTTACGACTACAACTGGGAGCAGAATTTCTAATGCATGGGTGTCAAACTCAATCACGTCACATGATGTAGCGTGACATTTTTTGCCTTAGTGGAGCCAGGATGGGCGTGGCCTAAGCGTGACACATCTGGCTCGTGGGCCGCCAGTTTGACAGGCCTCTTCTAATGCCAAGCAAGGCAGTTGTTAAGGGATGCCTGCCTGGTTTTATGGCCTTTTTTGCAGTTGTTGTTAAATGAATTACTGCTGTTACTGCACATCTGTTGCAAAATGCATCCAGCTTTCCCCCCTAAGTTTGCTTGTCAGAAGCAAATGGTGAACCCACGGGCCCTGGGATGCTTCAAATGTTGTAAATACATGCCAGTTGTCAAGTGCCCAAATTCTGATCACATGACCAGGGGGATGCTGTGACAATCGTAAGTGCAAGGACTGGTTGCAAGTCATTTTTTTCAGTGCCACTGTAACTGTGAATGGTCACTAAATGAATGGTTGTTAAGTCAAGGACTACTTATAAGGCAGAAGCTGTGGCCTTTCTGTCTCTTGCATAACAGGAGAACAACTCAAAAAAAGAGCTGCTCAAAGAATTAAGGATATAGACGCACAAAATGATATAGCTATCCTTAGTAAGGTGGGTAACTTGAAATGGCTGATTACTTTTCAAGTAGATAGCTAGATGAAGTTACAACTGCTCAAATATCTTAGGGAGATATTTACGCGAGCGAGATTCGAACAGCTTGACACAATGGTCAGATATGGGAGATCCCATTCTATACCCTACAATGAACGTCTTTGCTTTTGCCGAGAGGCAGACGTAGAAGACCTGGCTCACATCCTATTTGATTGTTGCTTGTATAAGGGGATGAGAGACAAGTGCCTTGGTCTATATACCAAACAAATGACCCATTGGGATCCCCACCATCAAAACAACTTACCCTATGGGCGGCCAGAACCGGAAAATAACATTTAACCCAGCACCATACTTAAAAGCAAAATGATTCGGTTGAGATCTGCATATGTGGGACTGACTGGGGTAGATTGCAGGGGTGCCAACACCGAAATTTTATCATACTTTATCACTCTTAAATTATTGTATTCTATTCCAATTTCATTTCAGACTGTATTTTATTCCAATTCCATCTTAAATCATATTTTATTCCAATTCCATTTTAAATTGCTTTTATCAAATTTTAGTAATCATTTGTTTCTGGAACTTTGCTCTTGGATATGGCGCAAGGGCTAATCAGTAAAGATTGAATGTCAATATAAGGCAGACGTTCCCTGCCAAGTTTCTGACAGCTTCAAAGGTAGACTGCCTTCGAGCACGGAGGCTCTATCAAGATGAAAGCAAGTTCTGCAGGGTGCTTCGGCTTCAGCAGTGGCCCCTTTTCCCCTACCTCCGTTTATTCCCACCTGAAAAAAGCCCGACAACATAGGTCCGCTGGGGATGGCATCACTGGGCGGCAGATTCGCCATCACAGGACTGGTCGTAGCTGCAGAGCTCTGTGGAGAGAGGGGAAGAAGTTCAGACTCCCAGGTTTTCTCTGCCCAGCGTATGGTGGGCCAACACAACCAGCCTCTCAAGCAGAGAAAAGATCTGCAAATAGTGGGGCTTGAAGTTGTTTTGTAAGACTTTCTGAGCCACGGCAGCAGAGCTGAGATTTGTGAGATTTCTGCGCTGCTGCGGAGTGAGCGAACGACCGAGCTGCATTTTCTGATTCAAGGCAGGCATTCATTGGGAGCCAAGTTGGCTCCAGGGGGAGCTGTTAAGACGGCAGGAATTTTCTGCCTTTTTTTTTTTTTCCAGCCTGGCCCCTCACGCATTGTCTCCACTCCAAGTGGTTTTAATTTAGAGGGGGGTGGGTGAAGGACTGCAGAACGCTGCCCACCCCCCAACCTCCACAGGAGGCCAGCTAGAACACAATATTCAACACTGCTGCTGTTGCTTCGAAAGGCAGGCAGAGAAGACGGCCCCGGGATTTTTTTGCTCCCCGCTGCCATTTCCAAATAATTTAGTGCTTCCTCCAAGCTGGGGAGGTTGGGATTGGCTTAGAGAACAAGGAAAAACCAAGTCAGAGTTCAAAATAGCGCTTGGCTGCCTTCCCTGCCCCACAGCTGTACAACCTATCCCTTATATGAGGAAAGGAGAGGAAAAAAAGGCAGGGAATATGGACTTAGGCAACCGACAACTGATGTCTGCAACCTGGTTGGGACTACAAAAACCCTCCTCCACCCCATGCCAGCCAACATGGCCTGGTTAGCTGGAAAAGCCCCAAATAGGCCCAACTGGAGAAGGCAGGCAAACAAGAGAACAATTTTCCCTGGAGGAAATTCATACGTGGAGCTCCGCCTCATTGACTTAAGAGTTCTTCTCCTTCCAAAGATTTAACAAGAGTTGGAAGGGTCATCTAGTCCAACCCCCTGCCTAAGCAGGAGACCCTGGCCTACACCATTTCTGACAGATAGCAGTCCAGTCTCTTCTTGAAAGCTTCCAATGATGAAGCTCCCACAACTTCTGAAGGCAACTTCTGTTCCATTGGTTGATTGCTCTCACCGTCAGAAAGTCCCTCCTTATTTCCAGGTTGAATCACTTCTTATTCAGTTTCCATCCATTGTTCCTTGTCTGGTCTTCAGGTGCCTTGGAAAATAGGTTGACCCCCCCTCCTCTCTGTGGCAACCCCGTATAATCTCCCCTTCGTGGACCGAATGACCTCCCAGAATTTCAGGAGTCCACGTATCTTAAAATCACCAAAGTTGAGAAACACTGCCCTAATGGTATGGGGATCCATTAGCGAACGAGCTTCTGTTACAAGATGCAAGAGGAACGGTATGTTGAAATGCAGGTCTTCCTCTTCTGTTTTTCAACTGACACCTAACCAGAGCTCTCAATCTTATAACTGCAGAGTTACCACAGTTCAAACCTGAGCTACAAATATTTTCTTCCATCGGTATTTATATCTGCCTCTATTTAGAAGCACAAGAATCTCCCCTTCATGGACCGAATGACCTCCCAGAATTTCAGGAGTCCCTCATTTTTCTGACCCTGTAAAGTTCCTCGTAGGCAGCCTCACAAAATGACTGCCTTGAAAGCGGATATTAATAAATCCCCAAAATGCATGCTTTTTTGGGGGGGGGGATAAACTCAGTCAGAAAACACCCACTTCCCCCAACGACGACTGAGGCTCAAAGGCAAGGAATTCTGGCAATAAATTAAAATCGAAGCAGACATGAGAGAACAGAGTAGAGAAATATCGTATCGCATATTTGTCCCCAGCAAAAAAAAAGCCTCCAGATCCATTTCTGAAAGTATAAGCCAGCGATGGCGAACCTTTTTTGGCTCGCGTGCCATAAGGGCGGGGAGCGCAGGGGGGGTCATGCACAGATGTGCCACACCCATAATGCAATGCACGACCCCCCCCCCCCAGTGTATATGTGTGCATAAGAGGTGCTTCCCCCCATTTTCTGCATGCTTTTTTCGCCCTCCCCAGGCTCGAGAGGCTTTATAGGACCCTGGGGAGGGAGAAAACAGCCCACCGTCCCACCGGAGGCCCTCTTCAGGGGGCTTCCCTGAAGCCTCCGGAGGACTAAAAAGGACCCTACGAGCAAACCATAAATCACTTCCGGTTTGCTCGTAGGGTCGGTTTAAACCCTCCGGAGGCTTCAGGGACCTTCAGGAGGCTTCCCTGAAGCCTCAGGAGGACTAAAAAGGACCCTAGGGCCGTTTTTTCAGGGAAGCTCCTGAAGCCTCCAGAGGGCCTCGGGGGGGGGGGGGCAGGGGAGGCTCTTTTCGCCCTCCCCAGGCTCCTATAAAGCCTCTGGATCATGGGGATGGCGAAAAATGGCTTTAAAAAAAGCTAAAGTCAGTTGGCCAGTGTGCGCATGCGCTCTGGCCAGCTGACAGGGCAACGCCTCGCGTGCCCTGACAAATGGCTGCATGTGCCACCTGTGGCACGCGTGCCATAGGTTCGCCATCCCGGGTATAAGCTGCCAGCCAGAGGGTCCACTGGAAAAGAGGTGTCAAAAAGTCAAGATGGCGGCCAAAACTGTGCAAACAAAACCCCACCAATTTTTTTAACTGCATGTATAAAGAGCAGGGCTTTGACTGCATAGTTGTGGGTGCAATCTTGACTTTTTTGACCCCTCTCCTCCACAGACATTCATGCCGGCAGTAATCAGTTCAGAGGTGGTATTCAGCAGGTTCTAACCAGTTTTGGAGAACCGGTAGCGGAAATTTTGAGTAGTCGGAGAACCGGTAAATACCATCTCTGACTGGCCCTGCCCCCATCCATTCTCTGTCTCCCGAGTCCCAGCTGATTGGGAGGGAATGGGGATTTCGCAGTATCCTTCCCCTGGAGTGGGGAGGGAATGGCGATTTTACGGTATCCTTCCACTGCCACGCCCGCCAAGCCACGCCCACAGAACCGGTAGTAATTTTTTTTTGAATCCCACCACTGAATCAGATAAATAACCAATCGGGAAGCCCAGCAGAAAAAATACAACATAAATCTTTCTTTCTTAGTCTCTCTCATCAAATTTTAGTTCAGCTCAACCAAGGCTCTATTCAGAGGCAGATGGACATATAGGCTATTTGGCTACACACACATGATGAGCTTGCTTTGCGGGCCCTAAATGGTTTTACGTGAAGCCATGATTTGCTTAATCGCAGTTGCTGAATATATAAATGATTTCAGTTCATCAATCATGTTATGCCACAGAGAGGTATCCACCATAACTATGAGTCAATATCTACTAATTCAGAAACAGAGAACGTTTTCTGGTATTGAGGTGACACACTATGTGTTTCAATGTGTTTTAAGCATGTGTGCTTAAAGCATTAAATGGCCAGAATATTGTGAAGCTTGCTCCAAATCTTGTAAGATTACATACAAAGGCTTTTGTGGTCCTTTCAGAATCAATCTCTAGGAATATAAAAACTTGATCAAAATGACCATGGGATGCTACAATGGTCGTTAAGTGTATAAAATGGTCATAAGTTACTTTTTTCAAGGCCAGTGTGAGTCTGAACAGTCACTAAACGAATAAAACAAATTATTTGGAACTTTATGGAACCACTTGAACCTCGTATTGATCGTGCAGGAAGGAGATCGGATATGGCTTGGCTATCAGCAAGAAAAATCATTCATTAGATTTATATCCCACTTTGTCCAGGAGTTGAAGGCAAGGCACCTCTGGATCTGCCTTCCTTGTTATCTCCAAAAACCAATGTAGATGAGGCTGTGTGTGCCTGTTCAAAGCCTCCTAATGAACTTCCAGGTCAGAGGTCAGATTTAAAACCTGGCTTTTTCTATTTGTCTATTTGTCATCCAGCAGCATATCACTTATGTCATAGTTCAGTGTTTCTCAACCTTGACGACTTTAAGTCCTGGACTTTAACTCCCAGAATCCCCCAGCCAGCACAGCTGGCTGGGGAATTCTGGGAGTTGAAGTCCACAGGACTTAAAGTCGTCAAGGTTGAGAAACACTGTCATAGTTAATGTATACCGCTACCTTTCCCCCAGGTAGTCCTCGACCTATGGCCACAACTGAGCCCAAAATTTCTGATGTGGAGATAATTGTTAAGTGAGCTTTGCCCCATTTTACCACCTTTTGGGCCACAATTGTTAAGCGAACTACTGCAGTTGTTGAGTTAGTAACCGAGTTGTTAAGTGAATCTGGCTTCCCAAATTGACTTTGCTTGTCAGAAAGTTGCAAAGAGGAGAACAATGGCTGACCCCGGGAGACTGCAATAACCATCATAAATACGAGTCGGTTGCCAAGCATTTGAACTTTGATCACCTGACCATGGGATGCTGCAATGGCCGTTAAGTGTGAAAAATGGTCATAAAAGTGACTTATGATGCCATTGTAAGTTTGAACAGTCGCTAAACGAATTATTGTAAGTCAAGGACATCCTGTATATGGCCAGGCTGGGCAGATGAGCTGGGGAACTCAGCCACCCATTGTACTCTACGGCCGTGTAGGTTCTTGAGGATGGCGTGAGGGCGGGGGGGAGGGATTTCCATCACTGAACATTAATCATTTGCTATGCAGAAAGCTCCGGCAGCGCTCCCTGAAATATTGATACAAGTGGCACCCGGCCAGTTTGTGGGCAACATCTAGGACAGTTAACCCCTGCTGGCCTGTGGGAGAGGGAGAGGTGGGCAAGGCCAAGGGCTGCTGGCCTCAGCGTGTGTCAGAAGAAAGGTGGTCCAAAAAGAATGCGGTTCCCATGGAAACAGGCAGGGAGGAGAGCTGGATGTGTGGTACAGCACCGCGTGGCCACCTAGCAAGGAAAACAGCAGAAGCAAACGCCGCATGACTCCTCTTAGGCAATTTCTCGCTCACAAAGGATCCAAAGCATATTCTCCAGGGGAGCAACGGGAGGGGGGCACACACACACACACACACACACACACACACACACATAGAGAAGAAGGAATAACAGAAGGGTTTGAGTCTAGAAAATTAAAATGTAATTTTTCTTTTACCCTTCCTCTCTCTCT